TCAATTTTGATCTGAACGAATAGTTTATTGATCTGTTCTAACTCTCTTTGGATTTTAAACTCCTTTGAATTATCCTCCAAGTGATATTATATATATATATATATATATATATATATATATATATATATATATGGTAGTTCATATGAGGTGTGTTTTATAAGATGTGCGGCAACGTTTTAAAGCTCCAGTTTTCTTATAGTTTTAGTTTAAATAGCGCTGATTGGGCTCCTTAGCAATTTTGGATACAAGTTTAATGAAAATAAGTGTTAACTGGAACATCCATGCCGTATCGCCCATTTAACGTGGTGAGATCCAGATAATCCTACTACATAAAAATTCCTCCACGTTAGAAGTTTGATCATTTTTATACATATAAATAGAAGTTGATATCGCCCGCCTAATCATCCTATCAGGGAAATATTCTTAATTGATCTTTTTACATATAAATACTGTCATTGTATCAGGGAGCTTAATTCTCTTTACTGTCATTGTATAAGCAGAAATAGATAAATTTGATGTAAACTCAAACACTTCTACCAAGGAAAAATAGTGGTTATAACAAAGAAAATAATGTCAGATTAAAGAATACATTAAATCATTAGTAAACATATACACATACACACACATACGCACACGCACACACAGACACATATATTTAGAGATAGATAGATAGATAGATAGATAGATAGATAGATAGATAGATAGATAGATAGAATACATTTTCATTTTGTTTTAGTTTGTGGTGAGTAAGCATGGCTTTTCCATTTCACACACACACACAGACACATATATTTAGAGATAGATAGATAGATAGATAGATAGATAGATAGAAAGAATACATTTTCATTTTGTTTTAGTTTGTTTCGAGTAAGCATGACTTTTCCATTTCATTATATATATATATATATATATATATATATATATATATAAACTAAAAAAAATTATGGGCTAGAACCTACGTATATAGATTTTTCTCAACGGATCATCAGGATATTACTGATATCAGTTTGTTCAATATATTTTATTTACAAATCGTATTATGTGGTTTTTTTCTCGCATCGCTCAGTATAGATATAAAACAATATAAAATATTATATATATATATATCATATATATATATACATATATACACACACATGCATATATATATATATATATATATATATATATATATATATACACATGCATATATATATATATATATATATATATATATATATATATATATATATATATATATATATATATATATATATATATATATATATACACAGATGGGTTTAATGATTTATCTCTTGTCTTTTTCTCCCATTTCAGCTGTTGACAGTATTGTCAGCGTTGCATCCACATCGGAGCGGATATCTCAAACTATAAATCTGATTCGCTGTAATCCAAGGTAAGTTCAATTCCCCTTTTCTGAGCCTTCGAAGTTTTTGCGGACAAAAGGTTGCAAACATGTGGGATAGAGCAAAAATAAGAACGTAGGAAGTGAGATTACTAAAATTTACCTCAGAGACACAGCTGAATAGGAGCCGAACGAATATTGCGTGATTCAAGATGTTGCATCCATATATGCCAATCGCGCTTACCTTGCAATTGTTATAGATGTGGCGATAAACGTGCTCGACTTATATGACTGGATTTCTCAGTTAGACCCGAATGCTTTCAGGAAAAAAAATGTCATGATCATATGACCTTATTCTGGCGGTGTCCTGATCGGAATCGTCCGACCGGAAATGGCGTCGATTGTTTCGGCTGATGTTAACCGGAATTTGTAACATCATTCTACTCAGGCATAAACGTGAACGAAGGAGTGAAAGTTGTCGTTTGAGATGTTGTTTTGTGTATTGCTTTGCATACGACGAATAGTTATTCATTGTGTTGCATTGTTATGGTATGAACGGTGCTGTGTTTCATTCTTGGCTCTGAAAGAGAACCTGATATTTACAGGATGAATGACGAAAATATAAGAATACGAATGATAATCGGGGAGGAATAATGGATGAGAAACAGAATACAAAAATAATTTATATGGTGGTGATGGTCGTTTTTAAGAGTATGTTTCTGGAAAATACGTTGCAAAGAAACAAGGATTACTAAGTAGCTTGAATAATTATATATTTCCCACCGAGAGGGAAGGTCGCTGTTCGAGCTAAGATAAAAGTAATGGGTCGAGTTTTGATTTTATAGTTAGGCAGGCTTTCTTTCTTGGAATATTTTCATAACACCTTCCCATATTAGTCACACCCCATTTAAGCACATGTTTTGATTAACTAAAGCTATAATAAGAAATTCAGGAGAAAATCAATTTTGAATTATACGTGTGGTTAATCTTGAAAATAAGTAGAATACAAATCGAATATAAAGCAGTGCAAAAGCAAACAAAAATGTAACATCGCAATTATAAGGCCTATCTGAGCGTGCATAAAAATTCAAAATGATGTGAAAGGACGTTTCAAAGATTACCTAACGCAAAAAGTTAAAACACTGGTTTCTATTTTTTTTTAAACATTTCACACCAAGAAAGGGGCGAGCACCGCTACCATACAAATGGTTACAGAGAGTGAGAGGAAGAGTAAATAATAAAGATGGTTGCTTGAAGAAAGAATATAGAGAAAGACAGCGATAAGAATAAAGGCATCAGAAAATGTCGATTGACATTACATTTGAATATTTCAAGATTATAGTTATCAGGGAAGCAAGTAAAAGGAAGGATGTTCCACTGTCGGGAAGTGCGAGAGAGGAAGCTGTTAGAGTAGAAAAGGAGTTTTTATTTAACTGCTTCGACTGTGAAAGGGTGGGTCCGAGATGCCAATCTAGTAACACGCTTAAATTCATGTAGCTTGGGTACCAGTGAAAGTCGCTCGTCAGAGCAGTTGCCATGAAAATATTGTAGAAAAGACAGAGGGAAGCCATATAACATTTGTGAGAAAGTGACTGAAGAAGAGACGCCAGATCAGGACCCATCACATTGCATATCCGTCTCTGGAGCAAATTTCCTGAAATACACCTGATTGATGCTTTGGCAAACATCATCACTGATGTTTTTAACTAAGGTTCCTTAGAAGATCCGGTTCTTTTAATACCATATCCCCCTCTACCCAACCGATACTGATCGAGTATCGACCTGTGTGCCATCCGTCAACTAGAACATTCCTTATATTTAGTCACAAACTGCAAACTCTCGTGGCAATTTATAGACCAATTACAGATAATTCCGGTTCACCAGCTCTTATGGGACCTTACCCATAATGACATAATGGACTATTCCATACGTAATAAATACTGCGCCTCAAGAGGAAGCAGGGAGTTCAGAGTTCAGTCTGAAGTCTGGAGTGAGGTTCGTCAGGAGTCTGTAAGTCGAGTCAGAGGCAGTCCGAAACAGAGTTCAGACAATTACTAATAAACCTGTTTGTTCGTATTAACATTTTCTACTTCTCTGTATATATTTCTGTTTGTAATATATCTGTGTTATTCCATATCCGTGTTCGAGTTCATCTTTATTGGTTCTACTTTGAACTATCACCGTGGTAGAAGAAACTGGACCATAACACCAGCAATCTAAGCTCTTCCATAAAAAAGGAAGCAAACGCAGTAACAGTTTTGATCTCGTACATCGTAAGTAACGATCTGTGATTCCCCACCTTAAAGGAAGCAACCCTTATATTTACTGGGAAAGAAGGCCCTACATGCAGATAGAAAACAAGTTAAGCAAGTAGACGAAAGTAAAATGAGATCAAAGAGAGGGAGAGATGCTTCTTCTCACTCGATTCATGAAACAATCCTGCTTGAACTAGTAGTACTATAATTGGCGGGCACAATTCCTACAACATTACGCACTGTTGATAAAAAAACTCCGAAAGATATCGCCTCGAATTCTTTAAAAAATATTTATAAAAGAAAGCGGGAAGAAAGTATTGGCATTAAGAAGAGGCAACATATGGTCGTAAACACGTGGGGCAGCTGATATTTTAACTAACGGAGACATCAAGATTAATTGGGTTCAGATAGACTAGGGAAATAGAGAAATTCGAATGCCTGTTGGAATAGCGAAAGATGCTTTCAAAAAACATTATTTACATTATTCGAACTATTGTTCTCATCTTTGTCGCCATATTTATTACAGCGTTTCAGCCGTTGTACGCTCCGGACTTCTTCAGGTGGTTGTAATGTCGAACTGAACCAATTATTTCGCTTACTGGGGCAGGACACATGGCACAGTGGATAAAGGCGTTAGTTAGATCCATTGACAGGACCCAAAGAGTATTAGTTCAATACTCGGCTAAGGCAGTGGAGAACTTTCAGAGGGAAATTAACAGGAGATAACTGACAACTGACATCTGACATTAAACATGGCACGTGGAACTAGAACAGTCTACCCCACTAAGCGAAATAAAGGTTTCAGTTCGACATTCCAACCACCTGAAGAAGGCTGAAGCGTACAACAGCCGAAACATTGTAATAAATATGGCGACAAGAATGAGGACAGTAATCCGAATAATGTAAATAATGTATATAATACCTCATCTTAGAAATATAGACAGACATTACATTCAAAATGTTTACAAATTATGAAATTATTAGGACATTTTCTTTAGAAACCTAAGACAGAATGCTGATTATATGGCAATGAATTCAGGGTAATTTCATCACGGATGATTATAAATGTTAAAGCGATTGTAGTATCTTTTCAGACGAATAATGATAATACAATGGTCGGAATATGTGAGCAGAGGGTGTTTTGAGAAAAACAGAACTTAAATACTTAATCAGAAGACATCATTTGAAATATCTGACGCCCAAAATTGAAAAGTATATGAAGAATTTCATACTCAGAAAACCTAGTAAAGGCAAGAGGAACAGATAGAATGTGCGAGCAACAAACCTCAAGATTTTTTGTAAATAGATGACTGAACGAAGCCTGTTATTGGAATAGCTAGAAAGGGGATAATGCAGCGGAGTTCCTTGATATAATATGCCTATATATAATATAATGAGGTTCAGGTTAAGAAGAATCCGAAGAAGAATCCGAAGAAGAAGAATTTGAAAAATTTGAATAATCCGAAGAAGAAAAAAATCCGAAGAAGAAAAAAATCCGAAGAAGTATCCGAAGAAGAAAAATTTGAAGAAGAAAAATTTGAAGAAGAAGAATCCGAAGAAGAATTTAAAGAAGAATCCGAAGAAGAAGAAGAATCCGAAGAAGAATTTGAAGAAGAAGAATCAGACGAATCCGAAGAAGAAGAATTTGAAGAAGAATCCGAAGAAGAATTTGAACAAAGAATCCGAAGAAGAAATAGATGAATCCTAAGAATCCGAAGAAGAAGAACAAGAAGAATCCGAAGAATAATCAGAAGAATTTGAAGAAGAAGAAGAAAAAGAAAAAGAAGAAAAAGAAAAAGAAGAAATTTTAGATGTAGAAAATTAACAGTATAAAGGAACCGATTCGCAAATAAATTTTCATTTGAACGCATTATTTAAGTTAATATATAACGAAACAAAGCACAATAAATAAAGCAAATAAAACCATTTTATAATAAATGCCCTGTATGAAAAACAATTACATGCCAATACGGTTCCGAAGTCAAAATAAATTAACAAAGGGAAACAAGCGGTGTTAGTGTCAGACATTTTTTGAGTGTAATGTTGCAGCAGATTAAAATTAGAAATAACAAAAATCAGCATCTATAGACAATAGAAAATATTAAAATGGCGTGAACAGTAAAGAAAGTAAAAGGTGAATGAAAGACTCTTATTCTAATTGTTATTTTTAAATTGCAGATACTGAATTAACGAAATATTTAAGGAATTCTTATACGTTCTTTCAATAATTCCGTAACCTAAAATGAAAAATCATTATAAAAACAATTATAGAAAATTATTTTTTTAACATAACGTATTCTGCTCATAATACTTTTTTATTAATTACAATAACGTAACATTATACAGTGAAATTTTCAGATCCAAATTCAGTTTATATCTGGTAAATGATCTGCCTACGTATTAGCAGATTTGTTTTGTTTTCTCAAAAGCAGAATCACATGTGGCATAAAACATTCGTCTTCACGATTTATCATTTCGTTTTCTTAACGCCCACATACATACTAACCCTAACCCTTGTTAAAACAAACGGAATATCTTATCCACCCAGGTAACATTATTTTCTTTTATTGTCCCATTATTTTTTCATGTTCCACGTAGGCATTAAAGATCTAAAGGTCGTCTGGCAAATGAGGAATGATTGTTAATCAAGAGAATTTCGATTACTGCACGAATCCAATACAATTAACGCTATCATTTGACTTTTTTGACCGTTTACCCTTCTATTAAATTGAATACCCTTATTTTTGTCATGTTGTTTTTCTTATTTATTTTAAAAGTAGCATGTTTTACAGTTAATGTTGTTCTTCTAGTGTTTTTACCACCGGCCGACGCATGCGCACATGAGACGAACAGAACGAAATTCTCTCATTAATCAAACTCAAATCTTTTACGTTTAATAAAACTCCAACTTAGCTCATGTCAACATTTGTTTGTTTTTCATCAATGATTTATTATTATTTTTTTTTAAACGTTCTTTGTTCAAGGAACGTGCATGCTATGTATTAACTCTGATCGATTCGGTTGTTTCCGAGTGTGAGGTTTACAGCAATTCCTTCGGCTTTAAGCAACATACGATGTATTGACAATTTCAAAAGAACAGATTTTAGATAATATATTAAATTGAAATTACTATCATTAATCAATCTTTTTTTTTTTAACGTTTATGTCTTTTATAGACGTTTACTATGTTTGGCCGAGTAAAATACAATTGTACATGTCTGAGACGCTCGAAACAACACACTGTAGAAAAAATTGTCGACCCCAACACGAGAGATAAGCGCTGAATATTCTGATATTTATTACAATTAGATTCGGCGTACACAAAGCCTCAAAAGTCGGGCACTGCATGAGCACTGTTCTCTTTAATACACTGGGAGATGTGAATTTCTTTAATTAACTTAAACTTATTTTGTATTTGATCCAAACTTAATGTTAGGCATATCGTCAAACAGTTAATATATGCGGTGTAAAGTAGAAATAAAAATAGCTTTAGACGATAAATGAATTCAAGTCCAACATACTGAGATATAGTTTTTACCGAATGCTCGAATTGGAATTTGCATAAACGGTCCGTATTTAAAAGCGTTTCAATAATTAAAATAAGTTGTTTAAAATATAAATTCCCAATATTGTGTTTCTATTTGAAACAAATTTTATTTTCATTTGGAAGAGAAATTTTCACCTTGTAATTATAACTTTGTTTTAATGAAAAATTTAAAATTTTCACCTCGTAATTATAACTTTGTTTTATTAAAAAGCGACCACATTGTCATAAACCATAAGGAAGGCGATGCAAATATTATCCACTACTTCTCCCTATTATTATGTGTAATATCACTACATGCAGGAAAATGGCCAACGCATCTCATAGACGTAATTGAGTGAATTACTGGCGCATGTAGTGTTAAACCATTCTATTATATTTCCTGCTTGTAATGCGTAAAACAGTATAGGAGATTGAAGTCTTTAGCATTAGATGCCAATCATTCGAGAAGAAGGCTAATTCGGAGTTTCAAGTCGTATAGAGCGTATCGGGAATACTCTACACCATCTTTTCTTTGACAGGACAAGGCTGCTTATCCTATATAATATATTCACGAGACAGCAATGACTATACAGACTATACAGGCATTGGGCAAAGCCAGATCCACAAAATCAGAGTGAATGATTTGACAATGCAACAACAACAACAACAATAAAACAGCAGCAAAAAATAATTAAAAAATAGATTATAATAGAAAGTTTGTGTCTTTTTGCTACGTGTCTTCTCGGAAAAATAACTCGAAAACATTGAATTATCGATTGGCTGTCATAAGCTAGATCTCTGGTTGAAAGACTTGATATAATACGCTGATATGTGGAAGAAGACAGAGGAGGAAATGATTTTCTACTTGGACTTGACAAGTTAAGAATAGAAATGTTTTCAAATTGAAATGTGGAAAATTTGTTGCCATCGGGAAGTCGTGCATTCTTTTGAGGTTAAAAATAGCTGCCATAGCAAATATTCGAAGACCGAATGCTCTAAGTTGAACCAACTACAAGAACAGAAACAAATAAGTTATACACAGAAAAATACAGCTCGGATAACATATTCTTACACACTTAAAGCTGGATAAGTTTTCTCATTCAGACCAAACCACCTATTCGACTCAAAATGCGTTAATATTAGATTTCGGATTTTGCCAGTAACACTCAAGGTATCAACATAAAAATACTTTAATAAAAAAAAATGTCCATTTTTTTTTACTGCTTTTTTTTTTCTTTAAAAAGATATTTAATATTATCAAAGCGGATTTTTTTATCACTGAGACAATTGTTTTTTTTTTTCTTCTCAGGATTTATTGAGACCTTAACTGAAAGTTAGTATATGGCCATGTGTGAAAGATAAAATGTCTAATGTATAAAATAATTACCATCTAGACTCCATGAAATCAATTTAGGAACATAACATTTACGACACGGAAAATCATTCATACACTATTGTTAACTTTCATTTTGGTTAAAAATGGAACTGTAAACATTAATCTCGATTTTTTATATAATTTCTAATAAAATAAATGTATCGTCTACATAACGATCATAATAAAGACATATTCTCGATTAAATAACTTTAATAAAAACCTTGTTTTCAACGAAGGACATATAATAATTGGAGAAGCAAGCGAGAGCGTTACTCATATTTACACATTTGTGTGTAAATAGTTCCATTCTGGCTATAAAAGTGGTGCAAGCGAGAAATAGTTTACATAAAATATTGGGTTGGATTGATGGAGGTGGAATTTTATATTTTTTATTTTAAATTATCTTTATACAAATAACTAAGTATAATATCAATAGTTTATGGAAATTATGTGTAGCTCGAATGGATTGTTTGGTAGGTGTTGGTTAGTAATATCATTGAGAAATTTTGCTCGCTTACACAACTAGAGTTGTTTTTTTTTATACCAACAATGGTACTATTTACAAACAAACTGATGAAGTAAGTAAAGGAAACGCTTTTGGGCTGTGTTTCCCAAATTATCATGTCCTACGTTGAAAAAAAGTTTTAATAAATTTATTAAACCCCAAATATATGTTCATTATGTAGACGGTATATTTATTTTAAGAGAAATTATATAAAAAAACTCAAAATCAAATCACCTTTTCTGTTATATTCAAAGACGCTTACATGAAAGAAGAATTGCTCTCTAAATGCACAATATATATATATATATATATATATATATATATATATATATATATATATATATATATTAAAATTAAAAAGGTGCAAATATAATTTATAAATTCATGAATCATTCATACAAAAACAAATATAGAGGTTAATGTATTCTCGCCATTTAATTCATTAATCTCTATATTTGTTTTTGTATGAATGATTCATGAATATATATATATATATATATATATATATATATATATATATATATATATATATTCTTCGTTGTTATAGATTGTTTTTCGATTATTATATTAGTTAATACATGGATAATATTCCGATTGATGGTTTCGAAAGCATATATTTGTTTCAACACAAGTTAGTCGTGTGTTATAGTCGGTGACATTTTCGTACGTAATTTCGTACGTAACTGGATTTTATGACATGCATACATATTCTGTAAGATATACTTTCAATGTGCCCTTCCTTACAATTCGTGTGTGAATTCTGAATTTAATTTTTTTTTTTCTATTAAATGTGAAAATGAAATGAATATAAAGAAATCTTCGGCAGTTATGTATTATTTATAGTGATGTTTCCACAGTTAGGAGAAACGTTTTTAAGTGTGTTTTTAAGTTCGAATATGAAACATTTTGCCTGGAAAACCGAAAATGTTCCTACATGCCTGAAATCGTTATCAATGACTAAGTCCAAACGCTCATTAAAACAATTTATGTTTTACGAATAGCAACATAGTAGAAATATCCGAAATATCATATTGTAACGCTTCTGAAAACACATGGGTACGTGAATGCCTAATATGTTTAGGTGTCTCACAATTTAACAAAAAAAAAAAAATAATCGGTCGCCTTTCCCTCTGCGGTTGTCTGATCAAATGAAATAAAAGATTCCATTTTTAATATAACGATAATAGTCGTGGTAACATGGATTTCTTTTATATTAATGAGAAGTGAAAATTGTCCCAGAGAAAACGAAATGAGACACTTTTACCAGCTGTAAAATCCAGGAGGCATCGATGAATGTGATATTCTGGATATGGTACGATGGAATACTATTTTTATATAACGAAATCCTGAAAATCTGATGTTGAATTCAGAAAAGTATTACTTTAAATTAGATCCAATGAAATCGGCAATATGTTAAATGCACCCGGTATTGGCCAATCGGAAGCATGTCATCTTCCAACAGGAC